AAGGGGTACACGTCTTTCCATACCTAGATGACTGGCTGATTCGTGGTCGATCCTACCAACAAGTGGAGGCTCATGTTTCCCTTACAAGAACTCTCTTCATAAGACTGGACCTCATGCTCAACGAGGAAAAGTCACTGTTGACTCCCTCTCAGTGCCTCGAATTCGTGGGGGCTCTCTTGGACGCCAGGGTGGCGAGAGCATTCCTCCCCAGAAACAGATTTCTGGCCATAGTGGAGCTGGTCTCCAAGTTAACCCAGTTCCCCATTACGACTGCCTGAGTCTGCTCAAGACTGCTGGGCCACATGGTGGCATGCACATATACGGTACGCCATGCTCGAATGAAGCTCAGACCCCTGCAAGCCTCGTTAGCAAAGTCATTCAACCAGTCCAAGGGCTTCTGGGACACGGTTCTCACAGTGCCTCCACAGGTAATCGCCACCTTACAGTGGTAGACTCAGGAGGCTGTGGTGTGTAGCGGGGTTCTTTTTACTGTGCCTCCCCCCTCGGTCACACTGGTGACAGATGCCTTGGACCTGGGTTGGGGAGTGCACCTGGGGTGTCACAGGACCCAGGGCTTGTGGTCTCTGGTAGAGCGAGCCCTGCACATAAATGTCCTGGAGCTCAGGGCGGTTAGGAGAGCTTGTGAGACCTTCCTCTCAAAGTTGTCCCGCCGCTCTGTCCTGGTGTGCCTGGACAACACGGTAGCTATTTTTACCTCAACAGGCAGGGAGGAGGTGGGTCGCCTCCCCTCTGCCACGAGGCTTTGTGGCTATGGGACTTATGCATAGTGCACAATATAGCTTTGAAGGCAGAGTACCTGCTGGGGTGCAAAAGCTTGCTGGCCGATGCTCTGAACAGGTCTTTCGGAGCCCAAGAATGGTCCCTCAAGGATTCTGCCCTTTGTCCTGTCTTCCACAGGTGGGGTTGTCCCCTACTAGACCTGTTTGCCTCAGCACTCAACACCAAGTGCCAGAATTACTGCTGCCTGTTGGGCCTGGAGGATCTCTCCAGGGGAGATGCCATGACTGTACCATGGCCGGCCGGCATCCTCTTTGCATTCCCTCCGTTCCCCCTAATTCCCAGGGTTCTGACCAGGGTCAGGACCTTCAGGTCCATGGTCATCCTGATAGCCCCTCGGTGGCCCAGGCAGTTCTGGTTCCCGATCCTGGTGGATATGCTCACTGAGGAGCCTGTTATGCTCCCGCTGGTTCGGGATCTCCTCACCCAACCTTGTGAACCATGAGCCCCTGTCCCCCGCATCTCAGTTCTCTCCACCTGATGGCCTGGTTTATCCGTGGCTGACCCAACCAGAAAGGGAATGTTCCCAGGAGGTGCAGATGGTGCTCCTAGGTAGCAAGAAGCCGTCTACCAGGTGGTCCTATGCAGCCAAGTGGCAGCGGTTCTTGTCTTGGGTGTCCAGAAGGGGGATGCACCCATCCTGTGCACCTGTCCCATCCATTCTGGACTACCTTTTTGAGCTTAGGTCTGGTGACCTCTTTACCTCTTCTATCAAAGTCCATGTGGCATCACTCTCCGCCTTCCATGTTGGATCGGCTGGAGTCTCTCTGTTCTCTGACCCGGTGGTCAAAAGGTTCCTTAAGGGTTTGGATAAGTTATACCCCTCGGTTAAACCCCCTCTCCCAGCTTGGGACCTTAACCTCATGTTGTCTAGACTTGTTGCCCCCTTTTGAGCCGCTGGCCACGTGCTCTTTAAAGCACTTCTCTGTGAAGGTTGCGTTCATTGTAGCCATTACGTCGGCTTGCAGGGTCTCCGAGCTGAGGGCGCTAACTGTAAACCCGCCCTACCTAGTGTCCTCAGAGAATAATGTGAGGCTTCACCCTCACCTGACCTTTCTCCCCAAGGTGGTGTCACCGTTCCATCTGTCCCAAGAAATTTACCTCCCGATTTTCTTTCCAAATCCCCATGCCTCTCCTAGGGAGCAAGTACTCCACTCCCTAGACGATAGGCGGGCGTTAGCCTTTAATGTTGATAGAACAAAACCTTTTTGCAAGTCCACACAACTGTTTATGGCTTTCACGGACAGAATGAAAGGGCTCTCTATCTCGACCCAGAGGTTGTCCAATTGGGTCACGGGGTGTATCAGGGAGTCTTATGTCCTGGCCGGGAAGGTCCCGCCCTGCATTACAGCACATTCCACCAGGGCACAGGCCTCCTCCGTAGCTTTTGGGGCGCAGGTTCCCATTACAGAAATCTGCAGGGCGGCCACGTGGTCGTCAGTGCATACCTTTACGGCACACTATGCACTGACACAGCAGGCCAGGGAGGACACAGGGTTTGGGCTCTGCGGTCCTTAGTTCTGTGTTGTAAATATGTTTATTTTTTCTCTATACCACAGTGCACTTTATTCAATAGTTCTCTGTGTTATGTTACTGGAATAAGTATGTTTTGGGTTGTTCAACTTTCCTGGACTTCTCTTTCTTGGTGCTCCGACCCCTCCTTCGTAAATGGTGTTGGCTTGGAAGTCACCTGATTCGAATGGACATGAGCAACCACTCAGAGGAAAAGAACGATTACTTACCTGTAAACTGTTGTTCTTTGAGATGTGTTGCTCATGTCCATTCGATTCCCCCTCTACTTAACCTTCGTCGGAGCATCCAGCAAGAAGGAACTGAGGAGGGGGAGCACCGGCAGGGGTACTTATGCTCCGCCATAGCGGAGCCACTCCAGGGGGCGCCCTGCCGGCACTATGGATACTGCTAGGGAAAACACTCCGGAAGACGCGGTGCACACGGTGTGCACACCTGATTCGAATGGACATGAGCAACACATCTCGAAGAACAACAGTTACAAATAAGTAACCATTCTTTTCCCTCTTATCCCATGACAATGTAACTTAGGGTATGTCTACACTACCCCGCTAGTTCGAACTAGCGGGGTAATGTATGCATACTGCACTTGCAAATGAAGCCCGGGATTTTAATTTCCTGGGCTTCATTTGCATAAACTGGGTGCCGCCATTTTTAAATCCCTGCTCGTTCGAACCCCGTGCCTCGCGGCTACACGCGGCACGAACTAGGTAGTTCGGACTAGGCTTCCTAGGTTACTCCTCATTCCACGAGGAGTAACGGTAGTTCGGACTAGGAAGCCTAGTTCGAACTACCTAGTTCGTGCCGCATGTAGCCGCGAGGCACGGGGTTTGAAGGAGCAGGGATTTAAAAATGGCGGCGCCCAGTTTATGCAAATGAAGCCCAGGAAATTCAAATCCCGGGCTTCATTTGCAAGTGCGGTATGCCTACATTACCCTCCTAGATCGAACTAGGAGGGTAGTGTAGACATACCCTCACACAAGAGCCTTTGGTGAGGGATCTTGTCAAAGGCTTTCTGAAAATCTAAGTATACTATATCTACTGGATCCCCCCGTCCGCATGTTTGTTAACCCCTTCAAAGAACTCTAATAGATTAGTAAGACATGATTCCCCTTTACAAAAACCATGTTGAGTTTTGACCTACAAATTATGTTCTTTTACGTGCCTAACAATTTTATTCTTAACTATTGTTTCGACTAATTTGCCTGGTACCGACGTTAGATTTACCAGTCTGTAATTGCCGGGATCACCTCTAGAGCCCTTTTAAAATATTGGTGTCTCGTTAGCTATCTTCCAGTTAGTAGGTACAGAAGCCGATTTAAGGGATAGATTACAAACCACAGTTAACTGTTCTACAATTTCCCATTTGAGTTCTTTTAGAACCCTTGGGTGAATGCCATCCGGTCCCGGAGATTTGTTCACATTAAGTTTTTCCATTTGTTCCAAAACCTCCTCTAATGACACTTCAGTCCAGGACAGTTCCTCAGATTCATCTCCCACAAAGCACGGTGCAGGTTTGGGAATCTCCTCAACATCCTCAGCCTTGAAGACTGATGCAAAGAAATCATTTAGCTTCTCCGCAATGGCTTTATCGTCCTTGATTGCTCCTTTTGTATCTTGATTGTCTAGGGGACCCACTGGTTTTTTTAGCAGGCTACCTGCTTCTAATGTATTTAAAAAACATTTTGTTATTGTTTTTTGAGTTTTTGGCTAGCTGTTCCTCAAAATCTTTTTTTGCTTATTACAGTTTTACACTTAATTTGACAGTGTTTCTGTTCCTTTCTATATATCTCACTGGGATTGGACTTCCATTTCTTGAAAGATGCCTTTTTGTCCCTCACTGCTTCTTTTACATGGGGGTTAAGCCACGGTGACTCTTTTTTAGGTTTCTTACTATGTTTTTTAATTTGGGGTATACATTTAAGTTGGGCCTCTATTATGGTGTCTTTAAAAAGTTTCCATGCAGCTTGCAGGGATTTAGCTCTTGTCACTGTGCTTTTTAATACACAAGTGTTCCTGTGCCTTTTTAACTCTTTTGCTAAAGGGATCAACGAGGAAGTGCATGCTGGCGATTCAGTTCTGTGCTGTTAGAAAAATGTATTTTAAGTGTAGCACAGGTCTATAGGTCAACATAAAAAATCCACACCTTTGACCATGTTAACTATGCCCATGCCAGGTGCAAATGCAGCTTGGTTGAGGGAAGAAAGTTTCTGTTGACCTTCCTACTGTCATTTGGGGAGTTCATGTTCCTACACACAGAGGAAAAACTCCTTCCATTGGTGTAGGTGGTGTCTACCCTGCGCTAGCTATGGTGCTGTAGCTATGCCATAATCCCCACGTATAGTTGTGTCTGTAGTCTATATAGGTGTGATATTAAAACAATAGAACTCCTTTAGCCCCCAGAAGGGAGGAGGCAGAGATGTGAAATTGAAATTCTAAGGGCTTGTGTTCATTGCATGTTAGCTTGAACTAGAATTCATATTTTGCCCCAACCCAGTACACATCCATACACACATTTCTAGCTCAAGTTAAGTGGTGCTTTGAATTAGCCTGACCCTTCATGAACAGGATGGGCTTGAGTGCTGCTGATGCTCAAGCAGTCCTTAATTTGTGAGAGGCTGGCAAAGCCTTTGTGTATAATTAATTGTCTTCTGCTTCTACATCCTAACCAGGAATGAAGATGCCCTTATGATATGGAAACTTATTCCAGCAACCTGATACTGAGGCAGTTGTTTGAGAGTCTAGTCTCTGGCATAAGGCAAGACAAATCTGAACTATTATTCTGGGTCAGGTTTTGGACAGCCCCACCTAAACCCACCTCAGTGAAAAGTCTGATGAGGTTGGCGAAGGATTTAGCACATGGCTAACTCTTACTTTAGATTCAGAGTTAGTCTATAACAGGAAAAAACATAGAAAACAACAGTCTGGTAGCTCTTTAAAGACTAACAAAACATGTAGATGGTATCATGAGCTTTCGTGGGCACAGCCCGCTGCTTCATCAGTCCAGGTTATCTGAAGAAGTCTATTGTTCCCACAAAAGCTCATGATACCATCTACATGTTTGTTAGTCTATAAAGTGCTACCAGACTATTTGTTGTTTTTTAAGTTTTTCCTCTTACTGTATATAAATTTAACAATCTGTCATAGTCAAGGAAACTAAAATCTCCTGTAGCAAAATCTGTTTTACCTACTCTCTCTTTTCTCCACTCTTATTTTATATTCACCGATACAAGAAATCTTGGATTGTTTGATTTCTAAGATAAATAGTTTTAAATGTTAAAAGACGAAGGTCTGAGTTCTGTAAGAAAGGAGCTCTGATACAATCCTGGTTAATAATCAGGTCTCCAATTTAATCTCTGCAGCACTTCCTCCTGTTTATATGAAATCATAAGAAAAACCCCTATGGCAGTTGCAGCCTCATCAATCTGCATTTTGCTGGTAATTTTGGCATTTCCAAAACTTTAAAAAACGTGAATGGGTATGGACATTTGTAAACGGACCATACACCTGACAACAAAAGCCCCCTCCTCCCCCGTAAGTAAAACTTTGACTTCTAATTTGGTTTAGAAGTAATGACTTATTCAGTTTTCAGACGTTATTTAAGTAACCTAGCAAGGTCCCGATTGTGGACATGAATGAAAAAGAAAGCTCCGCATAGTTTGTCCCGGCTGGAGAAAGCAAGGAAGTCTAGCTCTGAGTGTAGCGGGGCAAAAGCCCCTCGCTGTACGCCCTGAATCCAGCTGCCAACAGCTGGAGGCAATGCCACAGGAAGCAGCACCCTCTTCTCTCATAGGCTGAGCGCCAGCAGAGGCCCCCCGCCCCACTGGTGACCAGCCTGGCTGGCTAGGTAAGTGTGGAGAAGACTTTGTGACCTCACAAATGGAACGCCATCACCTCCCCTGGCCACGCCCACCATGACCCCCTACCTATAAGAGGCCTGGCCTGCGGCGGCCCCCTGTAGAGGAGGCTCCGGCAAGGGAGGCGGAGGAGGAAGCACTCGCACAGCCGAGGAAGTGAAAAGGTCCGGGCTGTCGCCCCTGGCTCTCTGTCCCCGCAGCGTTGAGGAGCGGGGTGTGTGTGGTGTGAACCACTCCTGGGGCGGGGGCAAAGGGCTTCCTGGCAGGCGCGCAGGTGGCAGCGTGTGCCCGGCCGGGCCCACCGCGGTGGGGGTTGAGCGGGGCGTGAGCCAGCTGTTCCCAACCCACCCTGCGACTCAGCGAGTAGCTGACTGTAACACGCCCCTTTGATCGGGCTCTCCCAGCCCGGCAGTGGCTTTTCAGTGCGAGCCCCGCCTTACGGGGAGGGGGTTAGCTCCCCCGCTTCTACTTGGGGGCTGGTCTGCCCGAGCTGTGCGCTGCACCCTGCCCAGCAGAGGCTGCGTTCAGAGGGGTCTAAGACAAGCTGGTGTCCCTGAGAGCTGCTCCTTTGTGCAGTGGCAGGGACCTTGCCGAGCTAAATATTGTAACAGGCGCTCAGGTTTGTGGGTGTGTAAGATCATTTGGAAACAGAGGAATTTGACATCATTTCCAAATCACTGTTTCTCGGGGGGGGGGCTCCCCTGCTTGTACGCGGGGGCTGGTGTGCCCGAGCTGTGCACCGCACCCTGCCCAGCAGCGGCTGCGTTCAGAGGGGTCTAAGACAAGCTGGTGTCCCTGAGAGCCGTTTTTTTGTGCAGTGGCAGGGACCTTGCAGAGCTAAATATTGTAACAGGCGCTCAGGTTTGTGGGTGTGTAAGATCATTTGGAAACAGAGGAATTTGACA